CTAAATAACAAGTTTTCCTTTTTTTTTTTATTTACATGGTGGTACTATGGATTAAACCCAGGATCTTGTGCATGCTAAGCACATGCTCTACCAGTGAACTATACCCACGGGAGGCAAGCCATGTTTGCTTGCTTGCTCCTATACAAGCCGAGTTAGTAGAGAGCCCACATAACCCCAGTCCCTGGACTTCTGATCCTACCCTGCCGGGCTCCAGCCTCAGAGATTTATTAAAGGGACTCTTCCTTTTCTAAACTTCTACAGTCTGCCTTTCTCTGCTTCGTAGCTCTCCTCAAAGTGTCTGCCTTCAGGCTCTTACATTAGTTGGCAAGAATGGTTGATTAACATCTGAGGAAGGTTGGATTTCTCATCTAGACAGAAAATCCATGTTTGGAAAATGCAGGTCCTCTGCAGGGTAACCAGGAAAGTAGCTGACGGGACAGTCAGTCCTAGAGCCGCGGGAAGCCCACGTTCAGCCCCCCTTTGTGGCAATGCTGAGGAACTAGGAGGTCATTTTGGTTAATCCCTAAGGTTAAGTCTTGTAACTATAAATAAACACGCAGAATGAAAGGAATGCAGGAAAGAAAAACGAACGAAGGAAAAAAGGAAATGAAAAACCTGATTCGATTTCATTGAGAAAATCAGATTCTAAAATGCCCCGTGTGTAGCAATTCCATCAATGCCTTGCAAATTCCCAGGAGATTTCTTCCAAAATGTCCATCCCCTTGGCTAGACCTTGGTGTTCCTCCTGGGCTGAGGTACAGTAATTCTGGGAGAGTAGAAAGGCTTTTGGATACCGTGTCAAGCAGGAAGAAAAGGCCTTACAAACCACAAAACTGGATACTTTGCAAGGTACAGAACAGTCAGCAGTTCCTCTGAGGAGAGAACACGAAGTTGGCATGAATGTGACCCAAGCGGCGGGGTGAGGAGGAGGATTCCAAACGCAGAAGGCGTCCAGCCCTTGGTGCTCTCAGTCGTCACAAAGAGGGTCACTCTGTGTCCTGCCTGAGTCTGGCCAGATGCAAAACACTGGTCCCATTTCCATGCCATCCGTGGACCACCGTGCATTCTATGGGTGCATCAGGAGTGCTGGAGTCGGGGAAGGTGGTATTTTGCTGGCTTTTTCCCCTTGTGGTTTTCACCATCTGTTTCTTCTAATGCATAAACAAGGCAAATGACTGGTTTGGAATGCAAAGTTTTTAAAAAACCAGATGACCACAGGCATCCTCCAAATGAGAAGGAGAGAGCACGCTGGGGTTCTGTGACATTTGTCAGGAAGGGAGACGTTAAGTCCTGGGAAGCGTTAACGCTCTCTGCCAGGGACGATCCCCAAAGGCAAGGCAGAGCCTGGCCCCCAACCTGCCTTTCTGGAGCCATGCTTTCTGTTTACATGTCACCAAGGGCTATTTTCAGATGCCAACACCACCCCCTCTACCTCTCGGCCCCCCTCCCTTTTTTAAACTAAAGATGAAACCCTTCAGCTGGCCTTCAGCATAGCCAGCCTCGGTTTTCCATTAGCATCATGACTAACTTGGCAACTGGGGATAGAATCCACTCTTAGAAGCTTGTAGACTGAACAAAAGCCGTGTTGTGAGTAGGTTCTATTAAACAGCCAAAGGAGAGAGCTATAAATAGAGGAGCTGATGAGAGAGACTAAGAGAAGACATGTCATTTCTCTCCTGGACAATAGCGAGTGAAAAAAAAATTATATAAGGGCATTGGGAACACAGTGTATCTCCCCTGCGCAAAGAGCACCCTGCTTTAAAAAGGAAGATTTGCTCTGCATAGCAAAGTGGTCACCCTGTAAGTGATGCTGTACACTCCATGCCAACAAACCTTAAAACAAGAGATTCCTTTTTTAAACCCGAGGCAGGGGAGAGATTTGATGGTATGGTGACTGCATACTAATCTCTTTTACCTTCGTTGCAAGAAATAATCCCTGCAAGCACCAGGGATTTAAAAGCAAATTGAACCCGGGCATTTAGAGCCCCCGGAGAGAAGGGCATTGGTGCATTTGGCTGAGTTCCACCCATTTCGGGGTAGGACGGATATGAGCATTTTTCACATAGTTTTGTAGGCAGCCTGACGCCAGAGTTTTCACATTAGAGAAAGGATAAAAGATGATGGTTTCTTAGGGAACAACCAGTCTTCCTAATCTACAACGTCTGTTCTTACAGATGTCGGGGGCAACACGGAGGTGGACGCTGTTAGCGTGCAGGGACAGGGGTTAGGTAGAAACAAGACCCCAGTCATTTAGAAGCTCTTGGCGGATTAAATATATTTCCAAAGGAGTTTAAGTTCCAGTAATTTCTTTGCCTGTACTTAGGACACAGTGAAGTGTGTCGATGTGAAAATACGAGCCGGTTGGGTGAGATCTGTTTCCCTGACGTTGGTTCCAGATGCTTGAGTTGTGATGAGGGTGTTCGACTTCTGACATCACTTGGATGTAGGCACCGTCTGGATGTTTGCTTCCCTGGTGGAAATGGGAAAATAATTAGAGACCTGAACTCTGTTCCTGGTCGGCTCCCGGCCTTGGTATTATTTCATGTGTGTCAGTTGTTAGGACGAAAGCTCCTGGAGGCTCCTAAGGGCAGCACTGTGTGAGCTTTAGCTCCATCGAAGTACTCCAATGGCCTATGGAATTTTAGTTATGATCATAATAATGTCAGATGAAGAGGCTTGCCGGGGAAGGTATGAGAGGAATTTTAAGTGACTGAACTCTATTTGCATTATTCACTTTACAAATAGTTTCAGAGCCTTTAAAAAAAATTTTTTTTTCCCATTATGCTGTGCTTTTGATCTTCCAAAGGGAGGAGCTAGGACTTTAATAATTGAAGAATGATTTTCCCTTAAAGCACCCTTTGGGAATTGAGCCTTTATCTGACCAACTTTGAGGCGATTTTGTTACCGAGAGGGAGGGGGACAGAGATATTCCAGGACTGGTTCTTCATTGGGACTCAAGAGGGATTTAAAAGTTTATGGGCCTGATGTCTCCTTGTCTCCTTCCTTTTATCTCTTCCCTTTTTGTTTTTTTTTCTTTTCTTTCTTGTTAGCGGGTAGAGTCCAGGGAGGCGTGTCGGATTAGAAGGTTAGGAGACAGAACTCAGCTTGGAATTTGACCCCTGTCTCCTTGTCCACAGGTGATCACGCCAGTGAGGACAGGCAACGGCTACGTGTATGAGTACCCATCCCGATACCAAAAGGACGTCTACGACATCCCCCCCTCCCACACCGCTCAAGGGGTGCGTGCCGGGAACGCGGTCCCCGGGGACAGGGCCACCTCAGGGCCACGGAGGAAAGAGTCCACACAGTGTGCATATTCCACGTGAAGCTTGATTTAGGTTGTCTATCCAGGGGCTGTTTTAGCCCATGTTATTCAAGTTACGTTTTCTGGATCTGCTGTAGGAAAGCCTAGGCTTTGATCTAATAAAGCTTTTGGTGCTTGTCATTTTATCAGGAAGCATAAAATTTAAACTACAATTTAAAGTACAGACAGTGTAGATATTTCACCAAAGATCATTTTTATATTCAACCTAAGCCAAAGAATACAAAATTTAAAGGGAGAGATTCCATCAGCCCCGTATTACACAGAATTCAGCTAAAGAGCAAAGGAGTACGTAACTTGGTAAATAAACCCGTCATTAAAAGCTTCGTGGCATAAAAAATGACCCGTATACAGACGATTCCACGCCAGTAACTCAGGTGTGTCTCCTCAGGTCTATGACATCCCTCCTTCGTCCGTGAAAGGCCCGGTGTTTTCGGTTCCGGTGGGAGAGAGAAACCCTCAGGGGGTCTATGACATCCCTCCTACCAAAGGGGTAAGTGAGCTACTGCAGGGCAGCTGGGGGGTGGGGGAGGTGTGTGTGTACTGACATAAAGCAAGAAGGAAAAGCTAGCTTTGTGAGAGAGTACAGGGAAGGAAAGAGGGCGGGAGGAAGAAAAGGCAGTAATTAAAGGTAACTCTAGGGATTCCATATTTAGGGGACCCACTAAAAAAATGGGACGGTCATTGAGGAGAGCCAATAAAAAGGTAAAATAATCAATTCCTTTCGGCAAGCCCTAACACGGCTCACGGCGCTCGCGCTTACATAGGGTGTTGGAGCGTCCTCAGGCCGTATATACATACGGGTTAATGCATTGGACTCATTCCGGGCGATGCCTGCACGGGAAGTACAGTTATCCTTGTTTCGCGGATGAGGGAACTGTGTCTCAGGCTATTAAAGCGACTTACTCAGCATCACACCGCTGACAGATCCGGGAGAGACCTCAGGGCTTCTGCCCCTAGTCCGGTGTGTTAATGCATCACCAGCAGCCGCCGCGGGGGGGGCACCCAGGAGCTGGTCAGAAACGTGGGACTGGGACCCGGGAGGGCGACTCAGCCAGGAGGGGTCCACGCCTAAGGCAGCGTGGAAGCCAGGGAAGGACGCGCTGGTCAGAGGGTGGGCAGTGGGAGAGAGCCTGGGGAGCACCTCTGCGCGGGGGCGGAGGGTGGGAGGCCGATCCGTGCGGGGCTGGGAACCCCGGCCCTCCCTTTACCGCGCCGCTCATGGGAGCCGACCCAACACGAAATAGCTTCGTTTTCCGCTTACTTTTCAGGTCTACGCCAGCCCACCCTCCGCTTGCCGAGACGAAGCAGGGCTGAGGGAGAAAGAGTATGATTTCCCCCCTCCGATGAGGCACCCTGGGAAGCCGGACGCCAGACCCGAGGGCGTTTATGACATCCCCCCACCCAGCACCAAGCCCGTGGGGAAGGACCTTCACCTGAAATATAACTGTGACGCCCCGGGAGCTGCCGACCTGGCGCTGCGAAGACAGCAAAGCATCTCCCTGAGCCACCCGCCCCCGCAGCTGGGACCGCCCGTGGGCGCCCAGAACGACGCCTACGACATCCCCCGGGGCGTTCAGTTTCTCGAGCCGCCTGCAGAGACTAGCGAGAAAGCAAACCTGGAAGAAAGAGACGGGCTCGGTGTTTACGACGTCCCGCTGCACAACCCGCCGGAGGCCAAAGGCGCGCAGGACGTGGTCGACGGCATCAACCGCTTATCCTTCTCCAGCACCGGCAGCACCAGGAGTAACATGTCCACATCTTCCACCACCTCGAAGGAATCCTCCTTGTCGGCCTCCCCATCTCAGGACAAAAGGCTCTTCCTGGATCCGGACACAGCCATCGAGAGACTCCATTGGCTCCAGCAGACCCTGGAGCTGGGGGTCTCCGGCCTCACGGCGCTGGTCACCACCGACTGGCGATGCTACGGGTACATGGAGCGGCACCTCAACGAGATCCGCGCGGCCGTGGACAAGGTGGAGCTGTGCCTGAGGGACTACCTCCACTTTGCCAAGGGAGCTGTGGCAAACGCTTCCTGCCTCCCGGATCTCACCCTCCACAACAAGATGAAGCGGGAGCTCCAGAGAGTGGACGACTCCCACCAGATTCTGAGCCAGACCAGCCATAACTTAAATGAGTGCAGCTGGTCCCTGAATATCCTGGCCACCAACAAGCTCCAGAACAAGTGTGATGACCTGGACCGGTTTGTGATGGTGGCAAAGACAGTGCCGGATGATGCCAAGCAGCTCACCACGACCATCAACACCAACACAGAGGCCCTCTTCAGACCTGGCCCCGGCAGCTCGCATGGGAAGAATGGGCCTGAGAACATCATGAACTCCACCGAGTACCCACATGCTGGATCCCAGATGCAGCTGCTGCATCCTGGGGACCACAAGGCCCAAGACCTCAACAAGCCATTGCCCCCCAGCCTGGGCAAGGACCAGCCCCCTGACTGCAGCAGCAGTGATGGCTCTGAAAGGAGCTGGATGGATGATTATGACTACGTCCACCTACAGGTAAAGAACCAGACTCTTAAAGCACCTGTGTCCACCTGCAGGGCATCTGGGGCCACGGCCTGTGAGGCTGCTGGGCTTGCGGGTGATGAATGGTCCTCAAACATGAGTAGTGGTTCACAAACGGGGCAATGTCGTACAGTAGGAAAAACACTGGCCTGAGAGTCCTGAGTCCTCTAGAACTTTCCCTGGTGCTAACTGTGTCACCAACTTATGTAACCTCGCCTAATTTCCTCATATGCAAAATGAATGAAGCCCAGGGTTGGATTAGATCCCATTGCTATGGGCAAGCTGGAGGAGACCCCCAGTAGGATAGTGGGCCCTCGAATAATCATACCAACTCCATTTCTATCTGTGTTTCAGGATATATACAGTTCTGCATGATATTTTATTTGAAAAAAAGGGGTGGTTCACTGTTAAGAAAACAATTTGAAAAACTCTGTACTAGATAATTACTAAGCTCTACTCTGTGTGTGTGTGTGTGTGTGTGCGTGTGTGCGTGTGTGTAGTTACAGAGAAACTTAACCCCACCACAGACTTACCTTGAAGACCACAAGGCATTTGCCAATTGACCTAGAACTTAACCTGCATATGGGTCATTGGGCAGTGACAGTATGCCTCCTCTAAATGGAAATTCCACCAGGTAGACCTCAGATCCTGCCAGTTTGCCCTTTCACTTTGGGGATTAAAAGCCCGCCAAGATCCATTAGTTAGAATTTGGCTTACTATCTTACTCTGCCGTTCTTTTTATTTGGATCACAGCCACGGATTATCCTGAGAATTATGAAACTACAATTCCTTTGTGCATAACTGGGAAAGGGGGAAGAGAGCCACACCGAGTACTGAAGACAAGTGTAGGGGGAGAGAGGATGGAAGCGTTAAACATTTTACCTGGCTGGCTGTCCAGCTCTGCATTTTGAGACATACTAATTTGGTGTAGAGTGGTAGATGGTTTGAAGAAACTAGAACTGCAGCATAGACCACATTTAGACCCGTGTTAGGAGGTTTATGGGTTTGCAGGTAATCTATTAGAAAAGAACTGAGACAGTCCTGCTGAAGGACGTTTGAAGAGGGTCACAGGTAGCCCTCCAAAATGGTAAAGTGGTGCAGAGGGCATGTGCCCCACATGGAAACAGGTTTTAGTTTTTAGTCCTGATCTACACAGTGACTGGCAGTCTGGCCGGGAACTGGTCATCCCTGTCGGGGGTTCCCAGGGCCTAATTGGGCATTCAGGGAAATTGCCAAGGCAGTGGGAAATCAAAGAGTATTTACGTGTTTGTCAATGAAATTGTTAGCATCAGTGAATCACAATGGTGATTTAATGTTTTCTTTATGTCAAAAAATAACAGGGTAAAGAGGAGTTTGAAAGGCAGCAGAAAGAGCTGCTGGAGAAGGAAAACATCATCAAACAGAACAAGATGCAGCTGGAGCACCATCAGGTGTGTGCAATCAGAACAAAAACTATTTGGTACTGAAAAGATTTCCCACTTACCAAGGAAGGTATAACTTCACAAGGTCATGCTTTTGATCCTTCTAGTACACTCTGGCATAAACAAGCTCCAAGGCATATAATAGGGTGAAGAAAGAACAAAGAGAAGGTTTCTGGCTTTAGTCATCCAGCCCGGTGTGCCTGGACTGTGTCCAAACAGCAGTTTCTCCAGGCCAAGCCTGTTTGGGTCAAGGCTGTGATCTCAAGCAGCAGGGCCCACTCCTCCTGGCCCAAGCAGACAGGGTTTATAGTCAGGCTGCAACAGGGGAATTCAAGAACAGAAAGTGAAGATCTAATAGCCAAGTCTGGAAGAGCTAGGACTGCCAATTCCCTCTCCTCGTACTTTCTTTGCTTTTCTCTAAATCAGCTTCCTTCGCCTCTTTTTTCTGGCAGTTTCCTCTGCTTATCTACTCAGTTGGCTCCCCTGTAACTTACAGAACCCCCAAATGGCCACTCACTCTTTTTTCTATAGATAGCTTTTCATCTCCACTTCCTCTGCTGACAGTCAGCTCCTTCTGTGGTTCATCAAATTCCTAAAAAAAAAAAAAAAAAAAAAAACTGGGCCATATCTCTGTCTGTCTACCTGTCTACCTATCTCCCTATCTCCCTATCTCCTCTCTCTCTTCCCTGCAACACAAGCCTATGGCTTGGCTGTTCTTGGTCCAGTCTAAGGGTAGGAGGGCAGGAGCCAATATTTTTGGAACATATTCAAGTCCATTTACTAAGGGTTTTGGTTGGGTAGGGCAGTTTCATTCAAAAGTTGGGCATAAGTGAGGCAGATAATGATGGGTGTTGCCAGTATAAGGGCATAAAAATAAAAAGAAATGGATGGAGGATTTATAAGCCTTGTCATGCACAGATGTGAAGTGGCACATGGCACTAGGGAAACCAGAGTTTTAATCTCTGACTAATCAACTGTGTGACCTTAGGCAAGTCACTAAACCACCCTGAACTTCAGTTACTTCTCTAAACAATGAGCAAATCCCTCTCTCCAGCTAGTAAGGTGATATATTTATGAACATATTTGAAAAAGGCATAAGCTAAATATCTTGAAGCATCTATTTATGTCTGCTTTGGTGTTTGGCCGAGTAAGACAGCAGGGCTTTAGGGAACTTGTCGAAATCATAATAATTGCTAAGAAGACAAGAGAGTCTACAGAAAAGGAAAGCTCGCTGTGCATTTCTTAGGGGAGAAGCTGAGTGAGGTTAACCCTGCTCTGACTCAGCCCTACCTCGGGGCAGAAGATTAATGGAGTCCTAAACCTGGTCACAGATAGACAGTCCTTGCCTGTAGAAGAGAGTCTCTCCTGAGAGTTGGTGTAATAGTTGGAAATTATTATTACTGCAACTTAAATAATAAATGATATGATCCAGCAATCCCACTCCTGGGCATATATCTAGAGGAAACTCTAATTCAAAAAAATACATGCATCCCAATGTTCATAGCAGCACTGTTTACAATAGCCAAGACACAGGTGCAACCTAAATGTCCATCAACAGATGACTGGATAAAGAAGTTGTGGTATCTATCTATCTATCTATCTATCTATCTATCTATCTATCTATATCTATATCTATCATGGAATACTACTCAGCCATAAAAAAGAATGAAATTATACTATTTCCAGCAACATGGGTGGACCTGGAGATTGTCATACTAAATGAAGTAAGCTAGAAAGAGGAAGAAAAATGCCAAATGATATCACTTATATATGGAATCTTAAAAAAAAAAGGAACTTATTTACAAAACTGAGGCAGACTCACAGACACAGAAAACAAACTTATGGTTACCAGGAGGGGAAGAGGAGAGTGGGAGGGATAAGTTGGGAGTTTGGGATTTGTAGCTACTAATTCCTACATACTGTATAAAATAAACAACAAGGTCCTACGTATAGCACAAGGAACTATATTCAGTAACTTGTAATAGTCTATAATGAAAAGGAATTTATGTATAAATGAATCGCTATGCTGTACACCAGAAATTAACACGACACTGTAAACCAGCTATACTTCAATTTAAAAAAATTAGCTCTAAGTTACCAAACTAAATAAATACTACACCAGTAGGGGGCAGAGAGGAGAGAAGGAAGAAAGCTAACACTCACTGAGTCTGACTCTATGTGAGGTTCTTTTCTTTCCACAACTCTGGGGAACTAGGTGTTATGATGCAGTCAGTACTGAGAGTCCCTTGGAGATGTTCTTTTCCATAATGCACATATATTTATGTCATGAATTGTCAGTCATGGATTGTCATTTATCTAAGTGTCTCAAAGGGACAGAGTCAAGCCTTTCCTAGAGAAGGAGCAAACTGTCAGTGACTGACTTGCCAAAGAGATCCCTACATTTGCTTTTCCTTTGCCACCATTCAGTGTCTAACAAACACTTACATAGGGCCTGCAATATACCAAACGCTGTTCTAAGCACTTTGCAAATATTAACTCATTTAACCTTCATAGCGGCGCAGGAAACAGAGCTGGGTTTTGCCATCCAGCTTGAGGGTAGAAGAGCCCAACCATCCCATCATAGAAGTCGGAGCTGGAGGATTCCTTAGGGATCATCTTTCTCACCCCTACATTTTACAATTTAGGAAAGCAACGGGATTTCCTCACATCTGATAAGCCCCTGACCCTGATAGGAGATGAAAACCCCTGCCTTTTAACTCCAAACCCTGGTTTATTTCTATGACAGCACACCACCGGATCCTTAACCGAAACTGGCTTTTTTCTCCCTTGCAGCTGAGTCAGTTCCAGTTGCTGGAACAAGAAATTACAAAGCCGGTGGAGAACGACATCTCCAAGTGGAAGCCCTCCCAGAGCCTGCCGACCCCCAGCGGCGGCGTGGGCGCCCAGGACAGGCAGCTGCTCTGCTTCTACTACGACCAGTGTGAGACCCACTACATCTCCCTGCTCAACGCCATCGACGCGCTCTTCAGCTGCGTCAGCTCGGCGCAGCCCCCGCGGATCTTCGTGGCGCACAGCAAGTTTGTCATCCTCAGTGCGCACAAGCTGGTGTTCATCGGAGACACGCTGACCAGGCAGGTGGCTGCCCAGGACGTTCGCAACAAAGTGATGAACTCCAGCAACCAGCTGTGCGAGCAGCTCAAGACGATCGTGCTGGCGACCAAGACGGCGGCGCTGCACTACCCCAGCACCCCGGCGCTGCAGGAGATGGTCCACCACGTGACCGACCTGTCCCGGAACGCGCAGCTCTTCAAGCGCTCCCTGCTGGAGATGGCCACCTTCTGAGAAGGGCAGCAGCGGAGGGGGACGCAGGGGTCACGCAGGAAAACTGGAAATATGCTCTGGTTTTTGTAAATCTTATCTATTTTTGTAGATATTTTATATGAAAATATTTTAATGGTTTAATGGGTTAGAGGACATTCAGGGAGCTCCCGGGGGACTTCTTTTTTCCTGTGTGGTTCTTGTGTACACACAGAAGCATCTAAGACATAAACCGCACAGAATCTTGTCCGCGGGCGTGTGTCTGACTGCGTACCCGTGTTCGTTTGTAGGTGTTTGATACATTCCATTAAAAAACATGAATTAAGAAGCACCTTAGTAAACACCTCCTAATGCTGCATTTTTAAAAAAAAAGAAAACGTACCAGCTGGTTGTAACCTTGCTTTGCCTAGACAGCGACCATTCGGAGCCTGTCAATGCCAGGTCTGGGAAGCACAGTAAATTTTCAAGTGTTCACCTCCCAATAAGGAAGCATGGAATGCCTTGTTTTTGTTTTGAAACCCCTTCCAAAATTGACCGTCTTGAGCACATTGTGGCAAAATGCCTCACTTCTGGTTGAAAAATGCCCTCAGAAAGTTTCAGAAAGAATATGTTAATCCAAACTCTGATATGTTAGGTGCTGGAAGAGTGACTGACTGACACTGTATCTAGAGGCCACGTCTCCAGGTGGGGCTGGATTGTTTCAACATGGCGAGGACAATGTCCCAATAAAAGGAGAGCACGTGGTTCCCCAGGGCTTTATGATCAGCTGCCTCTGTGTGTGATTTGGCCGTGAAGTTTTCCAGAGGATGATTTTAGATTTGTAAAAACTGTATTATTTGCAGCAGGAATTCATAAAGACACATCAGACTATTATCATCCACAAAAAAGAGGGATGGTTTCATCTGCTAGTTGTAAGTAGGGGCCTTTCTGACTCTCAATCTGCACCCATCACCTGAGGGAAGCTGGCCAGTTCCTTGGCCACCTAAACGTTAACGCCACCAGGCCACATCCTACTCTAAGAGAATCACTTGTACCTGCCTTAAAAACATGCGTGTGCAGACCCAACACTCAGCAGCTGTATGGAGCCCCTGGAAGTTCCACAGCTCTGCCTGGCCAATGGACCTGCATACACAGCCCCCCGCCATCTCACAGCTTGTCACAGCAGCCATTCCACAGCCTGGCCTCTCGTAACCTCTGGGGTCGGCCCAGCACAATCACTCCACAAGCCGTCAGAGTCATCATGGGACAAATGAAACACTTCCTACCTGGTGGGGAAGTGTCTCCACATTTTACCAAGTCAAGAAGCATGTTATCCACAGTGTCTCAGTCCAGTTTTTATGTAATGGTTCTTTTCCAGCCAATTTGGAAACACTTTGATTTGCAACATATGCCTTGACTTACTTAAGCGTTCTTGTTTTAAACAACCAAGTCACGGGAACAGGAAAAGAGGCGAGAGGGATGTGTGATCTAAGTGAGATTTTTTTTAAAAAAAAATTAGTGAAATTTATAGAAGGTGCATTTCAAAATAGCCACTATTGTAGTTCTTAATGTTCTGCTCTACCAAAAGAGTAAGTTATATTGTTCTGTGACAAGTAAGTGTGCAGAGGAAGGCGACTGCTGAAAATCAACAAAGAGGAGGTGGACAAGTGTCCTTGTAGATTTCATTGTACAATGTGTATTTCTTAGGGGAAAACAGATTTGTTCTAAGCTAAGTGGTGACATTTCACATTTTCAAAACCAAAATGTTCAATCTGTATTACTCTCGCTCCCACATTGTATGTATTTAATGATTTAAAATCATTAAAATTTTAGACATCCTTTTTCATAGGCACTGGGTTTTCTTTTCCTGTATTTCTTTATCACAGAATTAAATGTTGGCTTATTTTGGAACTCGTAATATAGAAAGCTAAATTATAATTATTTTATCAATACTACAGACCTGGATTTTTGAGTAGAATTGAGAGCCTTTTTTTTTTTTCATTTTGCATCACTTCAGGGTGTATTTGCATTTGAGGAAAATTCTGGAGTATATGAACATTATAAAACCCAAATATCTGGAGCAAGACTTCTCTTCACCAGAAAGCCTACACATTAAAGTGATGGGTAGGATAATTTCTGGTGTCATAATGTGGATGTTACTATTCATGTGGTTGAAGAGTCAAAGGGAATTGCTCAATTCATCCTGGAATGGACATCAAGAAATATTGGAAAGAAAACTACATTTGATGAAAATCAGAGAGTCATAACCACATAAACTTTTACTGCTTTTCCTACTCTCTCTCTCAGGTATCCTACTGAGAGCTACAGATAAAGTATTTGAATATACCTTGAATATACCTTTTCCCACATCTATGAACATTTTCAAGGAAAGTGTCAAGGCACTTCTTGGGGAATGGAAAGTCTTTTGAAAAAATGGTGCTGGGACAACTACATCCCTCCATGGAAAAAAATGAACATTTACTATTTATATTTACCCTACACAAAAATTAACTCAAATGGATCATAGACCCAAATATAAGACATAAAACTCTAATATTTCTACAAAAAAACACAGGAGAAAACCTTTGTGATCCTAGGCAGATAAAGGTTCCTTAGAACAAAAAAAAATACCCATAAATCATTAAAAAATGACAAATTGGACCTTATCAAAATTTTAAACTTCTATCTTCTAAGACGATGATCAAGAAAACAAAAAGGCAACCCACAAGCCAGGAATAAAAACTTGTAGCACATACATCAGCCAAGGACGTGTATTAAAATAAGAAGACTACTAAATTTTTTAACTGGGCAAAAATTTTGAAGAGAAACCTCACAAAAGGAGACATGTGAATAGACAATAGGTAAATGAAATATAAACCCACCAAACAGAATCGTTAGAATTAAAACGATAAGCCAGGCCAACTGTTGACGAGAAAGGGGAGCAGAGTTCTCAAACCTGCTGGGGAGAACGCAAAATGGTACACTTTGAAAAACAGATTGACAATTTCTTGAAAAATTAAATGTATACCTACCGTACAAACCTAGGAATTCATCTCCTAGGTATTTACCCAAGACAAATAAAAGTGCATGTCCATACAAAGACTTATACCAGAATGTTTATAGCAGCTATGTTTGTAATAACCAAAATTTAGAAACAACCCAGATGTCTATGTGAATGAATGTCCATTATTGCACATCCACACAATGGAATACTACACGGAAACAGAGAACAAAAGGGAAGCAGAAACCAACATGGATGAACTTCAAAATCATTATGATGCATAAAAGAAGCCAGACATTTAAACAAAATTCTAGCAAATGCAAACTATAGTATCAGAAAGCAGATCAGTGGTTGCCGGGGAAGAGGGGTTGGGGGAGGAATGGATTACCGAGGAGCTCAGGGAGACTTTGGGGAATGATGAAAATGCCCATTTTCTTGATCGTTGTGATGACTTCACAGGTATATGCGTGTCAGAACTCATCAAATTGTACACTTGAAATGCATACAGTTTATTCTTTGTCAATTATTTTTTAATAATTACTAAACATTACAATTAAAAGTCAGAGGTTCTCAGGCTGGACTTTTTTTAAAGGAAAGACTAAATTATATGCTATTTAAAAGACACCCACTTGATTTTTTTAACACCTTTATTATGGTATGTTTCCTGTATAGTAAACTACATTTATTTCGGATGTACAATCTGATGAATTTTGATAGATGTACACACCCTTGAAACCACTACCGCAATCAAGATAGCTAACATTTCCATCACTCCCAAAGAGGTGCAATTTTCGAATTCCCAACTTGTCCCTTCCCACCCCCTTTGCCCACTGGTAACCATAAGTTTGTTCTCTATGTCTTTGAGTCTGCCTCTGTTTCGTAGATAAGTTCATTTGTAAAAGACACCCATACAGATACACCGATAAGTTAAAAGCCAAGAGAAGCATACCATGCACATTCTAATTTAAAAAAACAAAAGCTGGAGTGGCTATACCAGCAGACAAAGTAGAATTCAGAACTGGGGCAGACGGGCACATCATGGAAAAAGCATCAAGCCATAAAGAAGACAAAATATTCCGAAATGCGTATGGACATAATCGCAAAGTTTCAAAATATATGAAACAAAAACTGATAGAACTGAAAGGAGAAATGGAAAATCTGTATTTATAGGTGGAAATTTAAATACTCTCTCTCAGTAATTAACAGAGCAAGTCAGCAAAAAAACTGGTATAATTGGTAATAACTGGAGTTCTCTGGAAACCCATGCATTGCTGACAGGAATGCAAAACGGTACAACCATTTTGGAAGATAGTTTAGTGGTTTCTCATAAAGCTACGTACCCTCTTACCATATAACCCAGCAGTTCCGAACATAGGGATTTAGGCAAGAGAAATGAAAATATGTCCATATGAAAAGCAAACTGCCTTACTCATCATAGTCCCCAAATGGAAACAATCCAAACGGCATCAACAGGTGAGTGGATTCACAGTGTGGTCTGTCCAGACCACGGAGTACTGTCAAAAAGGAGTGAACTAATTACATACGTAACAGCATGAACAGACCCACTTTAGAAATCTCATGCTGAGAAGCAGCCAGGTAAATAAAGAGCACATATACACGAAGCTCTAGGAAACACAAATCTAATGTGTAATAAAAAACCTTATCAGTGATTTCCCAAAGTCAGGGTTGGGAATTGGGAATTATCTGGAAAAAAGCACAAAGGAACTTTTTGGGGTGTGTGTGTGTGTGTATATAGCACTGATATAAAACATGTATTTGTAATTTGCACTGTCCAGCACAGTAGCCAATAATCACACGTGGCCACTGAGCACTTGAAATGTGATGAAACACACATTTTAAAACTGAACTGAGGAACTGTTTTGAATTTTAGTTAATTTAAATAACCACATGTGATCAGTGGTTAGTGGCTACCGTATTGGACAGCACCATATGCATATGTTGATGTTAGGGTAATTATGTGAATGCATATATTTGTCAAAATTATCATAACATACACTTAATGGGTGCATTTTATTGTATGTCACACCTTAGTAAGGTTGATTTTTTTAAAGAGGTAAAAATATTTCCCAACTAATTCTAATGTTGCATTGTTTTCAAATCAATATTACCATCCATCAATCCACAGAAACCCTGGAGGGCCCCTAGGAAGGGCCAGTCAGAAAGTTCAGCTTTCTAAAGAGCCCATCCTGGGCTAGTTCCAAACCCACCAGGAAGACAAACGTGCTTTCCTCCTCCCCTAGTCAGAAAAAGTCTGTCTGGGCTTCAGATGTGTCCCCATTAACCACATCCACATTCTTCATAGTGTTTGAGGAATCAGGACAAAAGAAATGTTGCCATTAACCAGAGGACATGGAAAACAAGGATTCATTTGTTCACTGAATGTTTCCTGCCTTGCTGGCCAGATCCGCCTCGTCATCAATAAGGCGGCAGCCGTCCCAGCCCCGGAGCCGCCCAGCCTCACAGCCAGTGTCTCTGCTCAGCAACAGGTTGTGCACCAAAGGGACAGGAGGGGGACGGGGTGCTCTCTGCCTGTCTTTGTTTGGGACCAAAAGTAAACCTGCCTTTTAAACAATTTGAGGCAGGTGAAAAACGAATGCCCAACTGAAAGCTCGGGCAAAGACTTCAGGAGAAGAGACAAAGAAAATCAAAGTGATGCAGGAGGGACAGAAACAGACGCATGCAAAGGGCGGGGCCGAAGAGACTGATGGCAAAGGAAGCGCCACCTGGATGGACGGATGCAGAGGGAACCCGGCTGAAGCTGGCAGTCAGTCCGACAAGCAGGGCAGACGTGCGGTGGGGAGGGTGAGCAGCTGGCTAGGATTCTCCCTCCCAAGGACCGGGGCTCTGCACTGGGCACCCTCGGAGAACTACTGGGCTCGGAACAGGCAGACACCACATCCTTTCAAACCAGAGAAAGGAAACCAACATGAGGAGGGGGCAGGATGAGACGAAAGATGCGAAAGACCATGAAGTCTGTAAAAGGATAAAAGGGGGAGGGTGGAGCGAGGAGGGGAGAACGGGGCAGTGGGAGGGGAGGAGGTAGAGGAAGAAAGACACAAGACACGGGACTTGGAAAAGGGTCTCAAACACTGAGAACAAACAGCGACTTCAAGAGATGTATATTCTAAAGCAATACTTTAGTTTCCTCGATATTTCAGGTTCTCGAGATATTGTGAGAAATAAATTGTGAGTACATACGTGGTTGTCTTGTCATTTTGGAAAACACCACAGAATATGTGGCTCTCCTGGAGAGACCTAACACCCAGGAGCAGAACAGAGGACTGACAGAGTCTTCTAATAGAGAAACCTGTCTTGTCTACCCTTTCCCAAAACTTTCTTGACCCTAAGATCTGTTCTCTCTCTTAACACGTATGGAAATCTCATCTTAGAGATTCAGTTTCTTTGTTTCTCTGCCCCGTCAAAAGGATGAGGACCACTAATGAGATCCGTCTCCCCGAGATGGTGCTGGTCTCACCCATGCTTTCAAAGTCAAGACCTCTCCCTGTAACAGCTCTTTAGAACCAACAGTTTAGGGGGCAGCATCTGCTTTGACCTCTGGCACCTGTTCTCCCGAATCCATGCAAGGCACCGACAGAGGTACACAAACATACTTTGTTTCCTCGATCCATTTCACATCACCTGAATGCCTTAGAATAAAAATGGAGAAAGCAAACCAATGATTCATTTGGATGAACTTCCCCAAATAATCAGCTCCTTTGGTCTAGGAATTTATTTTACAGAAATGCTGTGAGAAGGTCAATTATACGATGAGTTCTAAAATAAAAGTACTTTTCAGATGGGAACCAAGAAAGTGAAAGAAACCCCA